GAGTGAGATCCCCTTTGTCTCCTGTCATGCACAGGAAGGGTCTTCCACTCTGCTGTGCGTGGAGAGAGGCAGCCCCTGCTAGGAGAACAGGTGCTGACTTTTCCAGGCTCTGAGGAGGAAGAAATTGTCATAGCTTCTGGAGATGGAGCCAGATTGAGAGCTGTGCCCAAGCTAGAGAAAGCTGTGCCTGACAGGGCCATAGCCTCTTAAAAACCCGGGGCCACAAGGGAAGTTCCAAGGTTGAATTGGCAGTGCCTCAGGCAGGACGTGGGCAACTGGAGCATGAAGGAAGGGGGAGACCTTGGGAGAGGGGAGTCTGTTCTTCTGCCACTACCCTGGGCTTCCCCTTACCCAACACAGTGTGGGTCCACCCTGGTGCTCTGGGCCCTGCAACCAGTCTCCAGCAATCTCATCCTCAGCCATATGGGGCAGCTCAGAGGGTGCTGACATGGCGGGAGGGAGGCACTGGGAACCCTGCAAACAAGTGAGACCTGCCATGCACTCACTGATCCTGGGCTAAGCAGAGAGCTAGAAAATACAGTTATGGGCCCCTCTCCCAGAGGGGCTATCAGCATTGCCTCCACCTTCCCTAAACCACCTCGGGGGTGGGGGGCACACCCTGGGCTCATAAAGCAGGAGCAGGAATTCAGATCTTTCCAGAGCCTTGTATGCTAGGCTGTGGTAGTGCAGCTTTTACTTCTCCCAGACCCTGTTCTGTTGGATCTCTTTAGGGGCAGGGGCAGCCCAGCTTCTTGCTGCTGCAGTCCTGTGGGTGGGGAAGGGGTTTCTTTGCTCCCCTGCCCCCGTCTGCGAGTGCCCCGAGTTCGGTGCAGTGTGTGAGCAGGTGTCTGTAAGGTCTCCATCCCGGCAGGCCCGCATGGAGCGCATGGAGCAGTTCCAAAAGGAGAAGGAGGAGCTGGATAAGGGCTGCCGGGAGTGCAAGCGCAAGCTGGCCGAGTGCCAGAGAAAGATGATGGAGCTACAGCTGGCAGCACCGGGTGGTGGGCAGGCTGAGCTGCAGCGGCTTCAGGCTGAGGCACAGCAGCTGCGCAGTGAGGAGAGGGGCTGGGAGAACAAGCTGGAGGAGCTGCGCAAGAAAGAGAAGAACATGCCCTGGAATGTGGACACTCTCAGCAAGGATGGCTTCAGCAAGGTAGGAGCTGCCTGGCAGGGTTGAGCTGGGCCAGGGCTGGGCTGGGGAGGGGGCGCCTGGCACAACCTCACTCATTGTACCATCCCTCCCTTTCTTCCCTATTGCAGAGTGTCTTCAACATCAAGACTGAGGAGAAGGATGAGTCGGAGGAGCAGAAGGAGAAGAAGCACAAGACATTTGTGCAGAAGTATGAGAAGCAGATCAAGCACTTCGGTGAGGTGGTGCCGAGGGTCCGCTAATGGGAAGGGAAGGGCTGGTGTGGGGAGCCATGCAGGTGGCTTTGCTGTGTTGGTTGCGCTGTGCTCACAGGGCTGGGAGCGAGGCCATGCTGCCAAATGTGGTCCAGACCACATTGGGATGAGGTTGAGGTGTGTTAGGTCCTCGGATGTGTGGCAGTCAGGCAGACTCCTGAGGGCCTCCCTCTGCCCCATGACTTAACACCCAGCCCCTGAGACCCCCTTGGTCTGCCCAGTTTGGGGAGGCAGCATGTCCGCTCTGTACCCCTGCAGAGTCCTGGGCTGGGGTCTTTGCCTGGGCCCCCAACCAATGAGCCTGGAATATCTCATGCTTCTCATCTGAGTTGCCACCATCACTGTCATGTCCATCTCCACTCCTGCCCAGCCCAAATGAATGGTGCTAGCTGTCAATCCTGGCTGGGGCCTGGCTATCCTGGCTGACAGCAGCCATCACAGTCAGCTGTGGAAAGAGCTAACCCTGCTCTTATCTGGTCTGTCCTTGGCCCCTGAGCTGCTCAGTCTCCCAGCATCAACTTTGCAGCCCTGTGCAGTTGGGCAGTGCTGCCATCCCATTGGCAGGTGACAGCTATGAGGCTGAGGGACTTGGCCTGGGCCCCAATGCACATCTCTGGCACAGTGGTAGATGGCATCAGCCCCCCACATGCCTGGCCCAGGAAAGTAGTGGTGCTCTGAGCCCTGGCTGTGGCCTGGTTCCACTGAGGCTGTATGCAGCAGTGTGCGCCCAGAGGTGTCTCTTGGAGATGGGGGCTGAAGGGACTGTTTTGTTCTCAGGGATGCTGCGGCGCTGGGATGATAGCCAGAAGTACCTGTCTGACAACCCGCACCTCGTGTGCGAAGAGACAGCCAACTACTTGGTTATCTGGTGCATCGACTTGGAGGTGGAGGAGGTGAGGCCCATGCTGGGTGTGGCTGCTTACAGTTTAGTGAGACATGCCGGGCTCTGGCCTGCCTTGGGTGAGAGCATCCCCACCCTGAGTCCCTCCCCTGCCACTGGCTCCAGACCAGTCGTGAACTTGGTGCTGCTCACGTGTTACCTGCCTGCGGAGCTGATCCAGCTGTGGTTGGATCTCTGGGACAATTATAGTTTAGTCTGGAGTAGGCCCACACCCTCACTCGTGCAGCTGTCCTCCTGAAGGATGGCTCTGGAGCTGGCCCCACAGCAGGAA